CCATCCATGCCACAGTGCTGCACGTGTGGTCAGGAGCCGGGCTCCCAGGCTGGCTGTCTGTGCATGTCTCCATCCATGCCACAGTGCTGCACGTGCGGTCAGGAGCCGTGCTCCCAGGCTGGCTGTGCGGGTCAGTGTGGGTTAAATGCGTGCCTCTGTGGCAGATGACAGTCCTGCCTCACAACACCACCCTGCTGCTTCCCTGCAGGGGCTGCACCACGTACCAGACTTTCATCTTCATTGTTGTTAAAAGTTCCGTGGTCTTTGCTCCTGGGCAGCAGCAGTGGTCAGTAGGGAAAGACTACGTATGAGTTCCTGATGTCCATTCAGGCTCCTTGTACCACATGAGTGCTGGACAGTGAATAAGGAAGACCAAATAAGACTTGATGCCTTTGAGTGATGGTGTTGGCGAAGAATGTTGAAAGTACCGAGAACACCAGAAGACAAATCTGGCTTAGGAGCCAGAATGCTCCTTAGAAGCCAGGATGGTCACACTTGGTCTCACATACTTTGTACATGTCATCAGGAAGAACCAGTCCCTGGAGAAGGACATCATGCTTGGTAAAGTGGAGGGTCAATGAAAAAGAGGAAGACCCCCAAAGAGATGGACTGATACTGTGTCAGCCAAACTGGGATCAAATGTAACAATCATGAGGATGGCACAGAACCAGGCAGTGTTTCCATTTGATGTGTGTGGGGTAGCTGTGAGTCAGAACCAACTCGATGGCACCTAAGAACAAGAACAAATTGACATCTACAAACTTGCGTTGGTGTACGTTTTGCTGGATATATTCTTAACAAAATATAAATAGACGCATACTCATATGTACATATATCTGAGTCCCGGTGTGCCACTGTAGGATAAGCACTGAACTGCTAACCGCAAAGTCAGCTAGTTCAAACCCACCAGCCGCCTCTCCAAAGCCTTATGCAGGGTTGTTAGTGATTGGCACAGTGGCAGCAACAATGGACACACGTAACAGTTGTAATGATGGTGCAGGACCGGGCAGTGCTTCGTTCTGCTGTGCACGGTCATTAGAGTCAGAATCGACTGGACAGCACCTCACAACCATCATGTTCAGAGCAGAGGATGGACTCTTGGTTCCCATGGCCAACAGAAAGATGAGGGGGCTTCTTCTGTCCGAGACCATCCCCGGAGGGGCCCACATGCAGCTCTTCAGGGTCTTGTGGGAGCAAGCCATCCAGGAGGAGACCAGTGCAAGAGCTTGACCCTTAACCTTTTGTGCCAGCCCTCATCTGTATGTGAGCTCTGACAGAATAATGCCAGGTCTCCATCCCCTTCCTCCCCAGGCCCCTCTTTGTATCACATTGAGTTTGTCACTGGTCACCCTCTCTCTACCACTTGTTTTCAACAAAGATGGACAGCCTCCCATCTGGTGTGCATACCAACGGGCCCAGCCGTGTCTCACTTGCTGCCCTGGCCATAGTCAGCCCTCTGCCTGGCCTATCCGGTCTTGCTCCCTCCCTGCCACACTCCCATTTAAAGTGGCTTCTCATGTCCTCTGCTGGCCAAAGTGCTGCACTTATATTTTCACAGACAAGATTGATAGCTAACTGTTGAGGCTATTCACCAGCTGACCTGGCAGTTTGGGACTCTGGACTTGAGACGTTGTAATTGCTGTTACCATCCAGCATGCCTGTTGTTTACCTCTTCAGCCAACTCCATCGACAGCCTCTGTGTTTTAACTGCTGCAGGTAAATGGAACACACTGGTCTCGTAGTCTGCCTCATAAAGTAAAAACTCAACAGTTGAGCCAGGAAAATGGAAACACAGAACCCTCATCCCTGGCCGGTGGATCAGCAACTTCTTTTTAAAAAGTCAAATACAGAATCACCAAGTGACCCAGTCGTTCTCCTCAACCCCCAGGTGGACACGCGAGAGAAAGGAAACATGTGTCCACACAAGTATCTGTGCATCCGTGTTCATAGCAGTGATATTCATAATAAAAGCTGGAGCCAGTAGGCAATCGGAGAAGCTGACTGTCCAGACAGTCGAAGGTAACCCTGCTCAGAGGTAAATGTGGAGACGGCTCAGTGTGGGTCAGCAGGCGACAGGAGAAGCCGACTGTGTCCAGACAGTGGAATGGAACGCGACTCCACAGTAAAGGCGAAGAAAGTTGTGCTTTGTCCAGCTATGAGGGAGAATCCTGTCTGTGTGAAGCAAACACCAGGGAGGCAGAGCGCTGGCTGTCTGGGGTCGGGCCTGGGAGTGGGGAGTGACCACAGACGGGTGGGAGGGGCTGTCGTAAAGGTAAATCGTGGACATGACCATATAACTGAATAAACGTGTACAAACCCACCTCACATCCCTAAAATGGGTGAGTTTTATGCTGTTCAGGTTTTACCTTGTGAAGCTGTTTTTTAAAGGCCTATGGAGGTGAGGGTTGGTTCTAATAGTCTGCTTATGCTTCCACTTGAAGAATTGATCCTTTTCCTGTTCACAGGCCTAAGGGTACCTTCCCCTGGCTCTGTTCTCCCCAGCACTGCACCATTTGAGGGCACCTGCCCCACACACACACACTCGGCAGCTGGTGCCAGGGGGTATCTGAAGGGGACCCAGATAGAGGCTCAGAACCTTTCTCAGGCACCCATTTTTGTCACACTGCTGTTCTGGGCTGCCTCTCAACCACCCAGTCTGTGTTTGTCCCTGTCAACAGTCTTCCTCCGCACATCCCACGTTGGGTTCAGGGTGACTCGGATTCACAGCTCAGCTTCCATCACCGTGGGTACGTTCCCGCCCACTCAGAAGATTTTGTTCATCACCAACTCCTGTGGGCACTTCTGGGTAGAGGGTGGGCTTTGGCCTAGAGCCACCATTTGCTGACCCTGGTATAGAGTCACAGGCTTCACGGCCATCTAGCAGTGGGTCCAGTAGCCCTCCAGAAGTACCTGTGTTGACCCACATAAGGAGCCCTGGTGCTGCGGCGGTTAAGCGCTTAGCTGGTAACCAAAAGGTCTGCAGTTCAAACCTACCCAGAGACTCCACAGGGTAAAGATCTGGCGACCTGCTTCTATGAAAGCCTCTGGAACGTTCTACAGTGTCACATGGAGTTGCCATGAGTCGGCATCGACATGACAGCAGGCTCACACAGCCTTAGCAGGCTCTCCCTGACTCTTCTTTCCACCTACCTCTCTCTTCATACACGTCCTACAATGGAACTTTCCTCAGAAAGAAAACAGCATTTGGGGCTTTTTATTATTTACCTTTTTAAACAAATTTATGACAGGCTCGCTTAAGCAGCCAACAGAATGCAAATCATTTGGAACAAATTCTCTAATACAGCCTAAAAATATCAAAGTAACAGGAAGGGAAGTTAAAAATGGTGTCTCATGGTACAAGCCGTTCTTTTTACTGTTGTGGCTTCATCTCTGTCTTCTAAAGTTTTGAATTGTTAAGATCAAAGTCTTTTCATCAAAATCCTGGAAGGCTTTTTCTGTCGAGATTGACAGGCTCATTCTAAAACTCATGTGGAAACACACACAGGACCTAGGGGCGCAAAAACTTTGAAGACTGAAGTTGACGGATCAACACTACCTGCTTTCAGGACTTTGTGACAGCAATCAAGACAACACGGTGACACGTGGAAAAGGCAGGTTTGTGGAGCAGAACTGTTGTTTGTAGCTGCCTTCAGTCGGTTCTGACTCACAGTGATCCCACGTGACGAAACACTGCTCGGTGGTGCGCCATCACATGACCAGTTGAGGTGTGGGCCACTGTGGTCCATAGGGTGTCTGTTGACAGGTTTTTAGTAGCAGATCGCCAGACTGTCTTAGTCTGGAAGCTCCACTGAATAGTCAGAAATGATGCACTGTGTATGGAGAGTGATCTTCAACAAAGGTGTCAGAACAACTGAATAAAGAACTCTCAAAAACTCATGAGGACACAGGTAGCCCAGTGTTTCAAAATGAGCAAGAAGGCTTTGGAAAGATAGTTCACTAAAGAAAATTCTCTCATAGGCACACGTGAAGACACGCTCGGTGTCATCTATCAGAACTACAGGAGACTGCACTTGACCCTGTTAGATGGTTTAAGACTGCTGACCTGACCAAGCCTTGGCAGGAGTGTGGAGGAACTAAAATACCAAATGAGGCAACCACTTTGGAAAGCAGTTTGGCAATCTTTTAAAAGTTAAACATATACTTATCGTGTGCCCCAGCCATCCCAATCCTAGCTCTTTACGCAACAGAAATACAAGCTGTGTCCACACAAAGACTTACACGCCCAAGTCATCACAGCTTTATTTATAACAGCCCAAACCTGGAAACTACCCAGGCGTCCATCAACAGGTGAAAGGATAAGCAAACCATGATGCCTCTGTACAGTGATGTGTTACTCTGCAATAAAGGTGAATGAAGTATTCATACAGCATGGTTGAATCTCAGAATAAGTATGCTGAGTGAAAGAAGCCAGACAAGAAGGGAGTATATACTGTACAAATTCCTTTAGACTGAATTCCAGAAAATGCAGACTGTGATTACGAAGGGCAGGAGGAAGGCGGTGTTACAGAAGGTACCAGGAACCTTCTAGTGATAGATGTGTTGTCATGGTTATGGGGGTGGGACTGCAGGTACGTCTGCATATCCATTGGTCTAGTCTTTCGATGTGTGCAGGTTGTGTGCCACGTGTGCTTCACTGTGTGCCTTTTGTAGCTCAGTGTGGCTGTAGGCTTGTTATACTCACTCGTACCTTAGTACAGCCATTAAGTTTTGTGTGCCATTTGTAGCTTAATGTGGCTGTAAGCTTGTTATATTTCACTTGTGCCTCAGTGCAGCCATGAGCTGACGGTGTGCCACCTGTACCTCAGTAAAGCTTATAGCACAGCCATAAACTTTGTGTGACACACCTCAGCATAGCTCTAATCTTGTTGTGTGCCACCTGTACCTCAGGGTGGTCATAAGTTTGTACACTACTAATAACCTCAACAAGGCCGTAAGCTTGTTGTATACCTGTACCTCAGCAAGGCTGTAAGTTTGTACTTGTTGTATACCTGTACCTCAGCAAGGCTGTAAGTTTGTACTTGT